TTATTGCTATATCCAAAAGCAAGTTGACCACGGTGAGGTAGAGATTTTGTCTATTGCATTTTAGTTCAGATACCACTTAGACTACTAGAGAGTTATTAGACTTTCTGGAGCATGAAATGCAAAAAAATAATTTTTTGTTCTAGTTGGGATTTGAATCATGTATCTTCCTTCTATTATCATCTAGCAAAATGCATTAACCACTTATACCAAAGTGTGCATACAGGAGAATGTTATAATTCCTTACTAGTTCAAAATACAGGAACTGTGTCATAAAGAAACATTTATAGAGCTAATGTTTAATACCAGAAATACGAAAGGATAAGAATTATTCACAAAAGCGGGGTGGTAAAAATCCACCATCTGCAGATTGCTGTATGCAGAATGTACTAAATTGAGAATTTTCAATGTATCAGCTTATGTTTGGCTGCAAATTGAAAAAGAAGGTAATGGCTTACGTGTCCATATGGTATTAGATATTGACGTTTTCTCTGTGTATCATGTTTGTTGTTCAAGCTGGTATAAACTTCAGCTTTGATAAGTATGTTCTCTTCCTTGGCACTACAGAGTATAAATGGAGAGAAAAATGTTATGCATCAGAAATTTTACAATAAATTTCCTTCTGTTCATATAAACATATATTTTCTTTTACTGATGTAGGGAATCTATACATTCGTGGTCAGTCTAAAATGTGAGGGATAATGAGCTCCATATATATATGTCTTCTACTCTAATTTTTGCAATTTATGACTAAAATGTTCTTTTTCATCAGATCATAGACAAAGATTATATCATCATATTATTTCAAATAAATTGCATCATAAAGACATAAATAGCAGAAGTATTGGAGTCAGAATAACTGATTTTCTGATTCATAGTCAAGATTTGAATGATTATTAGGAACTGTATTACTGGTGGATGTACCCAAAGAGTTAATTCATATCAAGATTGCTAGCTTTGAATACAATCGTACATTTTGAGGAAAGGAAAGGAAATTGTTTCAGTTACTCATGTTACCTGCATTTCACCGGGTTGTTTGCTCGCATTGAAGAAATTATTACAAGTAGTGTTTGTGCTTGCTTAAAGATATTAGTGCAAAATCTGCTGCAGAATACTTAAGATTTTAAGATTATAATTTCAAATTGCCTAGCAAATGGGGTCAACTTTATAAATATTTCTCCCACCGTCTTAGCATGCTTTCGTAGTGCTTTCTAGAGGTCCGTGGTTCGAGTCCCGGCAAGGGCATTGCTCATTTTTCATCCCACCTTCAAGAAACCTAATGTCTCTAAAGTGGCACCCAAACTAAAAAAGGTGATGGATGATGATTCTCCACCACTAGGATTTGGTGACTGGGTCCCCTAATCACCAGTCTTCCTTTAAAAAGGGGAGTATATAAGGTATTTCTCCCGCCTTCATAGTGTAGTGGTCAGCACGCTCAATGCATATTCGAGAGGTCCATGGTTCGAGTCCCGGCGAGGGCATTGCTCATTTTTCATGTCTCATGCTTCCAAATAACCTAATGTCTCTATAATGGCGCCGGAACTAAAAGGGGTGGTGGATAATGATTCTCCACCACCAGGATTTGGGGACTGGGTCCTCCTAATCCCCTGTTGCCCTTTAAAAGGGGGAGTATATAAGCTCCTGCCTTCTTAGCATGCCTTCGTGGTGTAGTGGTCAGCATGCTCTCAGCAAGGGCATTGCTCATTTTTCGTGTCTCCCAGCATCAAAAAATCCTAATGTCTCTACAACTTGCATACTAAACAACATCGTCAGTGCTGCCTCTTTATTAATCAAGAGTGCTATAAAAATTTCATTCATTTCAGAAGACTCAGGCTAATGACATGCTTTAATCATTCTTTAATCTGTGAGCATCACCTGTTATTGTCATTTGGAAAAAGAACTGTATTTTTAATCATGCTGCACATGAGGTTGGATTGTCTCCCTGAAGTATACATTTCCTCCAGTGAACCCTTATTAAAGTTTCTCATTATTTCATTGTATTTATTCCTTGTTTGCTGTGTTCTTTCATCATTGCAAAACTGTTTGGCTGCATCCTGCTTTAAATTAATATGAATACTTGTGTGTTTGCTGTATTTATTTTTCTTTGTTAGAAATTTGTATGTAACTGTTGTATATTTATATATGTAATTGTGTGTGTTTATACATGTAATGTGTTTTCACATTCTAACACATTATTATGTGTTAGAATGTGAAATATTGTGCATGTAACCATTTACAGCTTGTAAATTGGCAACTTCTGAAATCTTCTCGAACCTTTGATTTGGAATCTCACCGATGAATGAATTAGAAAACATAGTAAATTTCTAGAATTCCATTTTACCAAACCAAAAAATAAAACAGAGACTTGATCGCATTTGGGGTGCAAGTTATTGAAGCAAGTAGCACTTCTGATCTTTAATGAAAGACTATGTGTACATTTTAGTGTTCTTGCTATTCTAGATCCTTTATTTTGCAATGGAATTTTAGTTTGACAAAGCTGTTTCAGTGGTGTCTTATGTACTACTCCTGTCATCTTTTATTTTCCTCGTCTGACTATATTTAGTGGACTTTATTTGGAATTAAGGTTAGGTTTCCCTGCTGACAGAATATTTATTTAAGAAATTAAGTACAAATTGCCTGTGACAAGATGCATGTTCTGTTTGCAAATTTAGAGGTTTGTGTCATTTGATAATTTTAAATGTAACTGTTAATGAGCCCGGTTGCATATATGGTATATTATAATCAACATAAAATTCTTAGATGATTAAGTAACTTGCACAGAAATCAGCAGCAGCCTTAATTTCACTGATGAGGTTTTAATATACTGTGCAGTGCAGTGAGACTTCAGCAGATTAAACAAATGCAGTTTTTTGTTAATAAATTATTGAAATTTGAGTGTCCATGTAATTCAAGAAAGCTTGTGTTTTAAAATACTTCCAAATTCATGTTAAATGTTTAAAAAAAAAAGTACTTTTTGAGAAGATTGGCTTTATTTTTTATTTTTTAAAATAAATATGAAATACATATTAAATAGTTGTGTTAGGAAAAGAAAGTTATAAACATTTCATCATTTTTGTTCTTACACAGAAATATCAAAACAACAAAAATTTGCAAAGATATAGTACAAATGCTTTAGAAATTGTTCTTCTCATTAGTGATATATCTGGCATATTACATCAGTGAAATAATTTTTTACCGCATCAGAAATTAAGTTTACCCTGGATAACTTCTGAACAATTATATGTTTTCTAAAATTTGTTAAGAAACCTTTTCATAAAAAACAGGCTAATGTTCTAATTTCCTGTGTATTCTCAAACTCATTCTGTGCCACTGTTGGTTAAAACTTATAATCATATTTAAAAGAACATTTTGTACAAAACATTGTTATTATTATATAAAAGGGGAAAATCTTTCTTGATCATCACTAAAATTTTGATCAAGTCAGTGTCTAACTTTCGTTACTGCATAAAATTGTCAATTAATTTTGTCTTTAACTGAGATGACTAAAAAATTAGCGAATTTTTTTTGAGATGAAATTGATGAATTGTGCATGTGTGTATATATATCCAATGTTGATCAAGAAGATTTAGGGAATTCATTAATTTATTAATTTTATTTCATTAATTTATTTAAATATTTGTTTTTATTTTGTATGTGTTTATTATTTTATTCTGTTTTAAATAAAAATTCTATGCATTTGTATATTTTTAATGCAAAATGGTTATTTATAATTTAGATAACCTTTTTTCATTTTCAAATGGCTGCAATTGGAGATGCTGAAATCTATCGGTCCTGTGATAAAATTTAATTGAAAGAAAAGTGTTGTAAAGCTAATGGCATTTTACAAAATTTAGTTACTTGATTGGAGAAAATTTGGATTGGAAGTTGTAGCACTGAATTTTTATGATTAGACCAGTTTTCATGGTTTTCCTAGTGAATGAGATAAATGCAGGCCAGTTTCCATTAAAAAGTTTTCCATGAAAATATGCCATCCTTGTTTGGATTTATATGCCTATAAATCTAGTATGCTTTGTCATATTAAATAATCTAACCTATTCCAGTTTTCAGTGAGTGTGATCATGTTAATCTAGCGTTTTTGGAAACCAAATCTATGGTATATGTTTCTGGGTTAATAAAGGTTTGGGGCAGTATCTTTGGTACTGCTAATATTATATTTTGCTCTTTCCCTAAGGTATATTTATTATTATTGAACTGAAATAAATACTGAATTCTCTTTCTATCTGTTGCTTTATTTAACAATGTTGTAAAATCATCTTTTTATTATTTTCATTCTATTTTTATGTTTAATGTTTTGAGAAATGAATGTGCATGACAGGGACAAGATTTTCTCTTTTGTTTAAAGAGTAATCCATAAAAGTGTGAATGTCTTTTTCATATGCATAATATGCAATTAAGTACACATGAAATAATTCGACAGTGGTAAAAATGGACATGAGCATATTTTTTTACACACTTCAGATTTTATTTAAGTATGATGTCACTTTCTGGTTTTTCTGACAATTTTACTCGTATTTGCTCTTAGAACCAACATAATCAATTGCAAAAAGATGTCTGTTGAATTTTTTTCTGTGAGAAGCATGTAAATGCTTTTGTGCTTTATATACATTTAGTAGGAATGTCTTAACAGCTGCTCTGCTAGAAAAAAAAGCAATCTTAGCTTTCTATAGATCTTGAATAAGTTGCATTGATTTTGAGAGCAATCAGACACAGATAGGTCTCCCTTGCCTTTGGGAGCAAAAAAAGCTGCTTTTGCCTAGTTTTAAATATAATTATTTTTATTTGTGCTTTCTTTTTTGTTAATCAATTATATTTTATTTCAGTTTTAAAGAGTTTTGTTTCATTAAAAATTCTTTTTTTTTTTTTTTTTTTTTTTTTTTTTTTTTTTTTGTTTTTTTTTTTTTTTTTTTTTTTTTTAAATTTGTGTATCTTATATTTTTATATTTATTTTTTATTTATGTTTATTCTTAATTTTATTTTATTAGAAAAAGATCATCTTAATCATCGTTTTGATTGTTGTGCTTGCAATTATTGGATTAGTTATAGGACTCACTGTGAAGTAGAAAGGGAAAACAGAAAGAAATGAATTGAAAACAGTGCTCTGTAAAATTGCATGTGGCATTATAGATACATAATTATCTGTATGATTATTCATAGGTGATCTTGAAAAGTTGGATTTTTCTTATCTGAATACCTACATTTAGCAAATTAATTTGTGATGTGAGTTTCCAAGCATAGACTAAAAAAAACCAGTTTTTGTGTAAATCAAGTCACTTACTAATTTTACAGTTTTAAAAAAATAATTGGGTAGTGTGTTAACAATATCTAGAAATGCAATTTCTTATTTGAATTTTGTTATTAATTATTTTTGTTTAAAAGCTATGCGTCTGATTTTTAAAACAACGAAATACAGTGAACCTTCTCATGGTGGCCACTTCTCTTAACCAACCATCTTTTAAAATGACTGGTGTTTCTGAGAACATAAATTATAATCTTAGTGATAATTGCAATACGATTTAAATCAGCTTTCTTAACCCATCCAAGATTATTAATTGCGTAAATATTAATGTAATCACCAAGATATCTGATTTTGCTGTTAAACTATTATATTTTACGTTCTAAACAGGTCAAAGTATAACCTTTTCAATCCTTTCTAGTGGTTTTTATTTAAGTTGTTTTTATTAAAAACTGTGGTTAATCATTTTTGAATCATAACTTCATTTTTTTTTTTCAGCATTGTCTAATTTATCATATAGGCTTGATTCTGTATTTATGCTGCATTATTTTTAAATGAACCATCCTATTCCTAAACTATTTATAATTCATAAGTTATAATATTTCATATGTTGTAAGGACTAATCAAAGATTAAGATATTTCAGGATTTAGGATGCAAACTTTAGGATTTAGCAAAACAAAAAGTTAAAATATTAAATTTAGAAAGAAGATTAAAACTGAAGACATTATTTGTAGTTTCTGTCCCCCCCCCCAAAAAAAAAACTAGTAGAAAAATTTGGTAGATGAGTGATTTATTTCTTGATCATATGAAGTTTAAACTATTTTGGAAAAGGTGGTTATTAATGAGAGAAAATTAAGTAGGCAGACTTTGTTGCATAAATATTTTAACAAGAGTATTTTTTAAATTACTTAACAAAATGCATTATGTTAAGAAATAATCAGATAATTTATTTACTTGTGAAGCTCAAACTGTTTGAGAAGAGGAAATGATTAGCTAAAAAGGGAAAATCAAATAGACAGAATTTTGTATGAATGTTTTAACAAGCAGTGAGTGTATTTGAAATTGCTAAATGAAATTTATAATCTAATAAAAAATATGTAATATAATAAAGTGTTTTCCCGACACTTGCTATGTATTAGTTACTTTAATTAATTTATAATCTTATTAATATAACAAAATTAATTAACCAATGTGCCACACACACTACTTATTAATATTTTCTTACTACACATTACTTATTAATATTACTATTTTTCTTAGTTTTTTAATTATAGGTGGTTATTTTAAAGAAGGTTCATTGTATGTTGTTTTTATAATTTTCTAATAATCTTTATTAGTTCAAATTTTACTTGATAATATTTTTATTTTTGATGCTTGAAATATATTAAAAATTTAATTTAATGTTTGCTAGTGCATATTTTTAGAAAAAAATTTTAATTCTGTGTAGGTTTGTAAAGCATTTTTTCTGTTTTAATTGATTTATTTTCTTTATTTGTATTTTATGATAATTTGTTAAACTTTTCTCTATATTTTAAAAACATATTAGGACCAAAGACCAAAATCTGCCAACATAAGTTGGCTAAAACCCGAATTTTTTAGTAATTTACTAACCTAAATATGAATATTTTATGCAGCACATTAAAAATAATTTAACAATAATACCACCTCTTAATGCTTACCAAACACTTTGGATTTTAACCAATAGACAATTAAGAGAAAAGTATATATATATATATACTTATTTCTTTATAGGGAATTGGAGAAAACTAACTGTGAAACCATTTCAATTTGTTGTTTTTTAATAACTGTCTTCTAATTATAGATGAAAACAAATACAACTGTGTAAACATGAAAAAAACTGTTTTGTACTCCTTTTAGCAATGAGTAAATGCTCAGTATAGTTTAATATAATAAAAATTCTAGCAAATGACATTCTCTTATAAAGTGATATGTAATAAAAGGTTGCATCCTTCTAGTTACAAAATTCTGAAAATTTGTTAATATAGTTCATTTACATGACATTCGTTCAATGAATTGTTTAAAATATGCAGATTTAGATTTCTAAATTTTAATATTTTATACACTTGATAAAATGTTGATGTAAAATCTTCCATCAGATTCATGAAGTATAGTGAAATATTTATTGTATATTTTGCACTTTGGCTGTGTTTTAGGCTTCACTGTAATGAGTATAATTAGGATATTTATTCAATCTTGAATCTGAATTTGAACAATTTTTTCACTGTATTTCATATGAAGTTCTTATTTCTGTATGTATTAGTTATAATCTTGTTTTTTCAATAGCTTAAACCCCATATGAAATTTAGTTTATTATTTGGATTCCTTAACACTTGAGGTTATTCACTTTTTTTATTTAATATGATCTTTATTTTTTATCTCTTGTTGTATTTATTTAATTATGTGCAGAATTCTTTATTAACTTTTATTCAAGTTTTAATTCATATTTCTAACAATGCTAAGAGTTTTAATGTAACAAAATTATATTCACATGAAAAGTATTGAAATTTAAAAAATAAAGCCTTATTTTCTATATATCTATGTTTTATAATTAAATTATTTTATTTATATTGATTTTCATTTATTTAAATATAAAAGGGACTGTAATTTATTTATATAGATTCTGAAATGTATGTATTTAAAAAATAATTATAGTTCATTTGCTTAATAATTCATAAAAAATTATTAAGGATTTGAACTAATATGGTATGTGTGCAGCTTATGTATCTTATGTAAAGCTGTAATTTGTGCACCAGGGTTCTATTTTTTTTAACTATTTAAAATTGTTTAACATAACTTTTTAACATATTTGATTAACAAATCAGTTCTATTCAAAGATTGTATAGTTAGTGTTTTCAAATGTTTTAGAACTGCAATTTAGATGACAGATGTTTTAAGACTTCAGTTTGTTTCATTTTCATTATTTGAACTGATGATCTGAATTTAAATCAATATAAAAAGTATAAGTCATATCAGAAAGCTTCTTTTGTTGAATACTTACTTGTGATTACAGTTTTTCATTTTTAGATATTTTAATTTTTAAATCAAAAAGTACTTTGCTGTGATTGTGAAAAGCATAATTATATTTTATTTCAAATTGTCACTAATAGATGGCACTATAACATTAATATCATGAAAATTTGCAATTTTAAATCCTTGAAAACATCATGGGTAGCTAAAAGCTCATTGTGTCTTTTAATTTTCTCATTCTCTTATTATAAGATGATACTAAAAGCCTAAAATGCACTTTTAAAAAATGGTCTGCTTCTACATGAGTCTCTAGGTGCAAACTACACTCTGATATGTCAGTTTGCTGATTGTATATATGATTTTTTTAATGTATTCACTTTTAAGAGATACCTTATAGTTCTCATAAGAAACTGTAAATGTTGTAAATAATCAGTGAAAGTACACGTTTTACTATCTGAATTAGTTTACATAAAATTAATAATAGTTTTAAACTTGTATTTAAAAAATATTGGATTTATAGTCAGTATTTACCAGTCACTTATATTTAAAGGATATTGGATTATGTGTAAAATTCTGTTGTAAAATATATTTTTCAACATTTTGATATTAACAATTATTATGTATGTTGTAATAATTTTACATTTTCAGTTTGTTAGAGCTCTTGAGTGGTTTTGAGTGAATATTCAGCAGCATATGTGGCAATAAGTCTATTATATTTTTATATTATTTTATGTCACTGCCTTTGAAGAGAATATCTAGTTGTATATATAATATTTGATAGCTGTATATAAAATGGAAATAATGAATATTTCCATATATCTTTGCTCTTATGGTTTACACAATACTTAAAATTCCTGCTTCTGCCAAAAGATGTATAAATTTCTTCTTGGTATTTTAACTTACATTAATTCTGTGTGTTATAAATGATACATTTGCTTATTTTTTAAACTATCTTAACTATTTTTAATTATTTTCATAATTCACACACATTCAACTCCATTAACAGATGGTTCTTAAATCTGCAGATTCTCAGAGGAAGAATAATGCACTTCCATTTAGAAGGCATCCTCTGATCACTGACTAAAATCTTAATCTTATCTGCTGATGAAAGATTTGACTGTATTTGTATTTTGTTTTGTATAAAGTAAGACTTAAATATTATATCTAGTAGATTAACTAACTTTTCTCCACAAATAAAAAATACTTTCTGATTAACTCCTCCCCCCTCATTTCAGTATTCAGTAGAACTGCTGTTGGCTATTTTCAAGAACACATATGAGAAAAGCCAAATTGCATAAAGCATGTGGGTCCCTATACATAGGGATTTACATGCTTTTTATTTGAACATTATTACTGCATAGTATCAACTGGCCATAAAAATGTAAACATTTAGATTTTTGCTTTTTCTCATAAAATTTGTTGTTTCTTATAAAATGCTTTATTTTATTATTATTTATAATAGCACTTATGAGCTTAAATATATCTAAATGTTTTCTGCCATTTCACAAAATCACCAGATTTTTTTTATGGGAGCTGCAGATAATCAGAAAATATCAAAATTAATTTTGAATAAAATTCAAATTTTTCATAGTTTATTTTCCCTTTCAAATTAAACTTTGCATTATGTAATATTATATCACATTTTATTGCCTTTTGTTTTAAAGAAAGTTAATCAGTGTTTATGTAGATCTTAAAAGTCTAAAATTTTCTGTTGTATTAACCTCCAAATTTATGAATGTCCTTTTTTCTGAAAACTTATCAATACGTTTAATGCTTTGAAATAATTCATTCCTATCATTTCTTCAAACTTTACAGGATAAATTTCAGATTTTAATTTTATACTGAGTTTGAGATATATGTTTAAAAGCTGTGAGATTTTAGAGAGGTGTTACTCATATATAACTCATATATTCCTGGGAGGTCGTACATGAGTTTGTTTTATTTTTCTAGAACAATGTGATTTTCAATTACAAAATTAATTTTATTTCTATTTAGATATTTCAGCTAACTAGCTATTAAATAATTATCAGAAATTTCTTTTTAATCTTTCTGTTTCTATGTGTAGATTTTTCAAAATTTTATTTCGTCTTTATGAGTGATATTATTGTAAGCAAATTAATACTTTATTTATTACTAATAAATTTTTCTGTATGCCTATTTATAATTATTTCATAAAATAATAAATTTATATTGTTATAAAAACTAATCTGTTATTTTCAATTTGCTATACCAGTACAAATTTAATATAGGGTGGACAAACGATATGAAGTGGTTGCAAACATAAATAACTTGCTGAGATGTTGAGTTTAATTTTGTAGTTGCATTTCTCTTCAAATTAGTAGTTTATATCATGCATGGAGATATTTATGAATTAAGAATCAAAGATTTATTTAATATTTGTGAGTTAAGTACATTAATATTTGTGATCACCCTTTTTAACCAAATGCAGATGGACTTGTCACAGTGCATTCATTATCCATTATTGTTCTCGAAGTATATCTGGGATTAACCGCAGTATTTCATCTCAAATATACCCTTTAGATTCTAAATAGTTTAAAATTTATGCATTGCCTTCTATTTAAGAAAATGATCAGAGGCTGTTAAATTAGGTGATCGAAAAAGCCACTTGAAGTTGGAATTGCAGGGAATGTACAAACTATTTCTTTTCTTTTTTGGACGCTAAATGATGATGATACAGTAGTAGCTACAATTCAGTTTGAAAAACACATGTATCTTCTTCCTTACAGAAATATGTAGCTTACATTTATTTACCTTATTGACTGGCAGATG